TACTTCTTTGTATCCAGCTCAAGATGAATTGCCGAGTTACGGACAACTTTATATTGTCGATTCGAATGAAGCAACAAACTGCAGACTCAATAGCAATTCAGATTTAAATGTGGGGATTCTTCAAGAGATCGACAACGCACTGCGCCAATGTAATGTTTTTGCACAATCGTATCACATGATGAAAGAAGAAATAGAATTGATGAGAAATCTCAACAATGGTGAAGAACCAGAAATGCAATTATTATTTACTTTAAAAAAAGGTTTAGACAGGAGGCGTTATAATTTCCAACGAGTCAATGAAGTAGCAGTGGTATTTTCTACCACTACAAATCGTGAAATACCAGAATCTTATGTTACTGTATATAATAAAGATGAGAAAGTACTACAATATGTTAGTTCCATGAATGAAAACGTTGAGCCGTGGACTTACCCACTATTTTATCCACTTGGAACCAAGGGGTGGCATGAGGACATTCCACAAGTGACTGGTCTACGAAGAGTTACCCGGAATGCTTATTTCAAATATCGAATAGCAATTCGAGATGATGAAGATAATTACTTCTTAAAAGGGCGTCGATTATTCCAACAATGGATAGTCGATAGTTACGTGAAGATTGAAAGAGATCGTATGAACTATTTCCGAACAAAACAGAAGGATTTGCGAGTTGACTCATATCAAGGTTTGATGGAGCATTTACAGAATCGAGCAAATAATACGAATACTCGGATAGGTAAAATATTTATTCTCCCATCTTCGTTCATAGGATCACCACGGTATATGAAACAAACTTATCAAGATGCTATGACAATAGTCCGTGAATTTGGGAAGCCTGATCTTTTTATTACGATGACGTGTAATCCTAAATGGATCGAGATCACAGAAAATTTGGAAAATGGCCAAAATGCATCTGATAGGCCAGACTTGGTGGCCCGAGTTTTTGAAATGAAAAAAAATGAGCTCATCAGATTGATCAAGAAAGAAAAACTATTTGGAAACCCTCAAGCATTTGTTTACGTTATTGAATATCAAAAACGTGGATTGCCACATGTACATTTATTATTAACTCTGAAACCTAATTCGAAAATCACGACTCCAGATATCGTGGATAAGTATATTTCAGCTGAAATTCCTAGCCCGTCAGAAAATCCAACATTACATGAAATTATCAAAACCAATATGATTCATGGCCCATGCGGAGATTGGTGCTTAGATGATAGAGGTAAGTGTTCGAAGAAATTTCCTAAAGCATTCTCGGATCGTACAACGATGGACGAAGAAGGATATCCCTGTTATAAACGGCAAAATACTATGGTTTACACCCGTCGCGATGGTTTTGTTTTTGATAATCGCCATGTCGTACCTCACAACAAACAATTATTGTTACTATTCAATTGCCACATCAATGTAGAAGTTGTTACAAGCGTCAAAGCAGTCAAATACCTTTACAAGTACATCTATAAAGGCCATGACGCCGCGGCTGTAGTAATTCAAGAATCTGAACCTAATCAAGATCAAGCTATCATAGATCATGATGAAATTCGTAACTATGTAGAAACTCGCTACGTTAGTCCTCCTGAAGCCTGTGCACGAATTTTGAATTACGATATGCATGGCAGGAGTCATAGTATTACACGATTACCAGTCCACTTACCAAATCAACATACTGTCATTGTTGATGACCTGGATAATAACAATACTATCCAAACCGCAATAAACAAACGAACAATGTTGACTGACTATTTTGATCTGAACATACGAGATCCTGAAGCTCGACAATTTACTTACTCAGAAATTGCACGGCATTATGTATTCAAGAATGGACAAGGTGGTCATACATGGCAAACGCGAAAGGCTCAGTTCAATGTTATAGGTAGAATGTATTCAGTCAGTCCAACACAAACCGAATTATTTCACCTAAGATTGTTGCTGTTATCTGTAAAAGGCGCAACAAGTTTCGAACATTTGAGAACAGTAGGAGGAGTATTGCATGGAACTTTCGTTGATACATGTTTAGCGTTAGGCTTAATTGAAGATGATAATGAATGGAAAAATGCGATGAACGAAGCTGAAGTATGGATGATGCCTCGACAATTGCGACAGCTGTTCGTTCGTATTTTGCTTCACTGTCATCCAATTCACCCTGAACAGCTATGGAACGAATTTAAAGATGCACTATCAGAAGACTATTCACGTACAATGTCATCTGTCCGAGCCCATCGCAAGGCCTACAGTCAAATTGGTACTTTACTCATACAAGAACGATCAAGTCTTGCGAATTTTCCAACTATGCCTCAAATTGCTGATCATGATGATGTCGAAGATGACATGTTACCCGTAGAACATCTGCATATTGGTCAACGGCAATACGAACAACTTAATAGTGAACAACGAACTATTGTAGAGTCAGTTCGTCAAACTGTTTTGAATAGAAATAGCTTCGGAGGAGATCGGTACTTTTTTATTGACGGACCTGGTGGTTCAGGGAAGACCTTCATTTATACAACTTTGTATCATTTATTAAAAGGTGATGAAAAAGTTGTATGCACTATGGCATTCACGGGAATAGCAGCAACACTGCTTCCTCAAGGAAAGACAGTTCACAGAACGTTCAAATTGCCAATTGCAATCTACAATGATTCTTCGCCAACAATCAAAGTCCAATCGCAAGACGCAAAATATTTGCAGAGTGTCGACCTATTCATTTGGGACGAAGCACCGATGGCACCAAGACATGCATTGGAATTGGTAGATCGAACTCTGCGAGACATAATGAATAGCACTGAGCCATTCGGAGGAAAGATCATGATCTTGGGCGGTGATTTCCGACAATTATTGCCTGTTAAGAAATTTGCGACTCGAAGTGAACTGGTGGATCTATCCATTAAGTATAGTCCGATCTGGCCATCGTTTTCACAATTTTCTCTCACTAAAAATATGCGCACTTTGCCGGAAGAAATAGAATTTGCTGCATTTTTGTTGTCAGTTGGTGATGGAACGGTTAATATCGAAGAGTTTGATATTTGCTTACCAGATCATTGCCTGGCGCTTCCAGATGCTGATATAGCTGAAGATCTGTACGGCGAAGTAATTAGGAATCACCAATATGAGAAGTTAACCGAGTGGGCCATACTATCTGCAAGGAATGTTGATGTTGAAGACATCAATAAACGAGTTGTTCAATTATTGGATAGCTATACAGAAAAGATTTTTACCAGCATCAATACTGTAAGTGGCTCTGATAATGGGGATATTGCCGAGACGCTCTTACCAGAATATTTAGAAACCTTGAACCCTCCAAGCTTACCGCCTCATGAATTGCGATTAAGAGTTAATAGTGTTGTTATGCTTATCAGAAATTTGTCTATCAATGAGGGTTTGTGCAATGGAACAAGGTTACAGGTATTAGAGTTTTCAAATCATCTACTCAAATGCAAGATATTGACTGGAGACAAATCAGGTGAAATGGTTTTTATAAATCGCATTACTTTGTATAGTGAAGACAATTATCCATTTACGTTCGGACGACGACAATTCCCAGTGAAATTAGCCTTTGCAATGACGATAAATAAATCACAGGGGCAAACTTTTGAGAGAATTGGAATTGACCTTCGAAAAGACATTTTTAATCATGGTCAGCTGTACGTCGCCTTATCACGGGTTCGCTCTTGGGACTCTCTCAAAATATATTTAGGGGCTCAAAGGGAATCAAATGTTGTTAAGAATTACGTATACAAGGAATTGTATCAATAGTTCTCCCTTCATGAAAAGAAACAATCATCTGTAAGCAGTTTTTAGACCTGCCGGGCCAGTTTCCCTGCCAGAGTCGGGCAGGCAGGTCACTCCGTAGGTTGCGTGAATACCTTCTGGGGTCATTGGGACAACGAGGAACGAGGAATCACCAAACATTTGAAATATAAGCAACATCAACTTAACAAAAATGAAAATTCATGATATTGCGTTATTGGAATTTGAAACTACATTTTGAAATGAGGAAAAATGTACAATTGAGAATGAATAAAATACTGTAAGATATATCTACATGTTCTTTGATATTTTTTTCCTTAACTCTAGATGTAAAATCTAAAATAAGTTAATCTTTATTGCATAGCATGAAGATATTCACAAACATAATATACTATATTTGCAAAATGATTAGAACCGAATGATTGAACTTATTCAGTCTCCATAATATGATTCACTGGTTCATTATTTATCAAAAATTATCCGAATTCATTTTTTGAATTAAAACAAAAACAGGACATTGGTCAACGGCGCGGCCGCTTGCGGCCGCGGCGGCGCTAGTTTTACAAAAAACATGGAAATATAAAAAAATGCCAAGTTTATGCTGACAGCGTCTACTATAGGACAATTTTCCGCAGTTTTAGTTCCGATTGGAAAATCGATTAGTGTTAATCAAGGCTTTTGTCATTCCGGTTGTAAGACAGTGTTTTACAGCTGCGTTGCTATGCTTCGCGTCCACGAAACGCTGACTACGGCTGTTATGACAAAAAATAGTGGGCGTCATACGGACAAAAAAAATTTGTCAACCAATATGATTGTTGCAAACCTCATCTTCGCTAGAAAAGTTTTTTTCGGCCTAATGACAAAATATACTGTTTCAAACCCCGTCCATAGGAAATTGATTCGGAAAAAAGTCAACTTGGCGCGCCTAATTTTTCCACTTCAATTCACTGACTATCATTACATTGCCGGGAACATAGTAAAAAATTAAAAGTATATTTTAGCATTTCCCTAACAAGTCATAAATTCGTAAGTGGATTATTGATTGAATGCATTGATTGAGAATTACGTATCTACTTCAGTCGTTACGGACATCTTATCATGTATAAGCACTACATCTCATTTTAAACTATTCGCTGATGATCTTCGTCCCCCACTCTTTGCCGTTGTCTAAGAATGTGAGTGTGCCACCATGCGTCGCTAATGAACGCGCCATCACACTGACGGGTACCCACTCTCCTCATACCGATATGCTATTTGACGTTCATTGGTGAATAGATTAAGTACACGTCGGGTATACGGAATCCAATTGTTGATATAATAAGCTGAATCAAATCTCAATAGTTTTGGCGTTTTGCCAATTACCGTGCGAACTCTAGCTTTGTCAATCACTCACTTCCTACTAAGTATGTTCATTATCGAACAGCCCGGCGCGCCAAGTTGACTTTTTTCCGAATCAATTTCCTATGAACGGGGTTTGAAACAGTATATTTTGTCATTAGGCCGAAAAAAACTTTTCTAGCGAAGATGAGGTTTGCAACAATCATATTGGTCGACAAATTTTTTTTGGCCGTATGACGCCCACTATTTTTTGTCATAACAGCCGTAGTCAGCGTTTCGTGGACGCGAAGCAAAGCACCGCAACCGTAAAACACTGTCTTACAGCCGGAATGACAAAAGCCTTGATTAACAATAATCGATTTTCCAATCGGAACTAAAACTGCGGAAAATTGTCCTAGTAGACGCTGTCAGCATAAACTTGGCATTTTTCAATATTTCCATGTTTTTTTTTAAATAAGATTATATCATAATCAGTTCGCCTACTGTGTGATTTCAACTATTCAGTAATTGTCCCTTGTTTCTGTCTTGGAGGCGATCAGATTCACGTCGACTTGGCGCCATTTTTTCACAAAATTTTTTTGTGATTTAAAAGAATGCTATGAGTATTTCTGTTGATTCGACAACATTCGGTACACTATCGACAATGACTTTTTGTTTCAAATGTAGCTTCTCATATTGAATATGACCGATATCTCTATGTTGTTGAAGTGATATTTCATCATGTAAACTATAAACTTTTCGTCTGTTTATTACGTATGATGACGTAAGACTCTAGAATGTCACCATCAGCAGATGTTTTAAACATCGCGGTAACCTCCTTGATTTTCTGTAAATTATTACGCCTTTGGTTCATCCCGGGTCGTAATGAGAATAGAAGTTGCATTTCTGGTTCATTTTGCATTTGATTATTCTCCATCACTGATCGTACTTCGTCGTGCACATTCGTTAAGAAAAACAAATACATTGTTCTCAAGGATACTGTTATCCAAAGCTCTAACCAAATTCTCATTCAATTCAGAGCTTTCTAGACAACGAATATCTGTAGCTTCATTTTGATCAACAATGAAAAGCTAACCATGAGGTGGACTATCGTCTTTAGAGGGATATAAGCATTTATTCATCTGATAGCAGATTTGTCTCTATATTTTGAAACAGTACGTCCTTGACCGCCTGTTACTGAAATTAATCAAATTGGCATTGAATGATGCGAAGCTGAATGAACTATTGTAACAACGGATACGTTCGAAAAAATGTTTGCATTTTTCATGATGTCCATCAAATAACTCTCTTGAAAGTGTAGGAGGATCAGGTAGGGAATCGAGGGCATCTTCTCCGTGGCTTCAGCAATCATTGAAAGAGTCCTTCTTATGTGCTACTCTCTCAGCTGAAAAGTGCATTGCGCCTCAATGCATGCATGAAATATTCATTTTTCTCATATAATGTTTCTGAATCTCTTCATGTGGCATCTCACGAATAGAAGCGCGTGAGGATCGACCTCCTCGCATTCCTGTTTGAATCGAAAGGTCGTTGCGAACCTCATCATTATTGGACGTGGAAAGACATGAGTTGTTATTTTGACCACTCGAAATATTGTACTCGATCGTCTTCTTCGTCTTCATTCTTGCACGATATTATCTGTGATAAGCTGCATTTTTTCGCGCCTGACCGTTTGAAATTCTTCTTCTTCCTGCGATGTGCGCTAGGTTTTTCGTTTAAGCATTTCTTTTAGGCCCAAAGGATTGATCGATTATTATAGGAAGAATGCTTATTTGTAGGATTAGAAACTTCTGTGATGAGATAATAATATGAAATCTAATAATATGAGTGGTCCAGTCTGGTCATACTAATGGAGTTTTTTGTTGAAATAAATTGAGATACACTCATAAATTTCTCATTTTACAAAAATATGAATATAATTTCAATTATTGGTATCCGATTTTATTATTTATAAAAAAATATATTCTATGTATACAAAAATAGTCGACAGATATTATGGGCTTAGCTTATTTCTTTAGTTCTATTAATGTTATTTATATTTTTAGCTCTCTCAATTATTTCATTTATTTGCATTTCAATGTTTTCTGTGAATTTCTTTATATTTCAATATATTCTCTATATATTTATTTATATATCAATATTTTTTATATATTGTTGATATATTTCAGGATTTATCTTTTTTTCCTTACTTATTTGCTGCAGGCACGCTGAAACAAAAACAATGAAATATTTTATCATGTATGCAGTTATGAGTTATGATTTCTATCGAAAAAGCTGAGGACACATTCAATGTTCGTTGTAATTCATTTTTAACGAAACCATTGTTGGGCATCGAATTATAATAATTGCACCGTCAGCTAATTACATACCTTTTTGTCATTGTTACTGCTGTCATTCTCATTATGATTATCGGCCTGTCGTTTTAGGAGGCTAAGCTCATAAGCCCTTGGTGCTGGTGCTGGATAAATAGCCAATCTCAGCTGGGCAATTGACATTGTTGGCATTTCTGAATCGACAATGATGTTTTGTATTTCCTCCACTTTCAAAAAATAGGCTCTTGGTTTAGAAGTAGCTGTTTTCAGCTCAAATGTAGCTTTGAGTGGGGAGCCGTCTGGATATTGGTATCCAACAACTTGAACACAGAGGCGAAACTTCCCGTCAGAGATATTTCCATTTGCCAATTGCATATCACCAATCGTTTTGCAGACAGTGAACTCACTTTCGACATAGCCTAAAATAGCTGGAATCAATGAAAAAAAATATATTAGACATCCGTCTAACTGAAAACAGTTTTCGAGAAATGGAGATTTGCACAGTCTATTTCTTTGAATAATTAAAATTACCAACTGAATCTTCTATGTGCGCGAGATACTTCTCAAACGAAATTTTTTGATATTGTGTTGCATTGTCAGGAACAAAAATTTGATGGTATTGAATTCCTGGAAATGTAATTCGTGATCTGCAATCACTCCTTTTAGATCACGATCAAACTGGAATTTCACGTCAGATACTGTAAGACCAGTCATTTCGATGATCTGAAAGCACAAAAAATATATCTCATATTTCGAATATTCATACCGGAAAATATTGTGCTTCTATTTTGATGAGCAAAAAAATCAATAAACTATATAGGTCGGTGTAGAATATTCATATTGTTAGCGATTATGTGTGGTAAGAGTTAATTCGAAATAGATTCCTCTATTAATTATTTTGTTAAAATCTGGAGTGAATTATAATTACTTTGTCAAAAAAATCTTTGATGAAATATAAACGCCAAATGATCAATAAAATAATAAACGTTTCGAAAAATATTGATTAAATGTTAAATTTCTTTCCAATTTGCAATCTCAATTTTTTGTTCTACATCAACGGTTTTTTCACAATCGATTCGTTCGATTTGCATTTCAATTTGAATTGGATAAAGAATATTCTTGTTGGAAAATGGAATGGATTTGCTTGAATCTTAATGCACAAACAATTATTGAGGTATGATTTTTTTTTTACCTGGTGAAGTTTCAATTTTGAGCTGTAATCGACGACACTTTGCCTCCAGAAATTAACACGGACTTTTGGGCCTTTGTTGTTGTTCAGAATGATTTTGACAACCCACTTTTGATGATTTTTAACTGGACAAAGGGAATCCACTGAATCGATATAACCAATGAAGTCTG